CTAGTTGGGTAAATTCCTGAAGAAAGAGATTTATTTACAATATATATTAGCGGAGAACTAACAAATAGGGCACTAGCTTCCAATATTGCGACAGGTATTTCATCATAACCATGGGAGTATTTGACTTTTAAGGATTTGATGATTCCTTCTATCTCATGGGTAGAGGCATGCTTAGGTCGAATATTTGACAGCGGACTCGTGAACATTGAGGACATATAATTTAAATAGTTATCATGCATAGGCTGTCCAGTTTTACTAATACTTGTATTATCAATAATATCCTCAGCAACTGTTACAAAATAATCAATAAGATTTTTTGCCATGATTTGTTGGTCGGAAGTTATAATTCCCTTAATATCAAGAGATTGAATGTCTACTTTATCTTCTTTTTTTCCCAGTTTCAGTTTTGATTATGTTCCAAACAGTTTTTTATTTACTTTTAGAGTCTATAATCCTCCTGTCGTAGTGAATTTTTTTAGCCGCTTTGATGACATTAGTTAGAATTTTTCAGTATTCTTTGTAATGTTCTTTTAATTTAATATCATTACTAGTCCTACACTGTAAATAAAGATTTCTTTTGTTTCTACATGAAATACGTATTCCTGTAGTTAACCATTCATGAACATTTGGTTTGCTCTTTATTTTTCTTCTCGTAAAACTGGAGTAGAAAATCCTAAGATAGGTATTGAGAAAATTATTAAACATTATATTTACGTCAGTTGCTTCAAAAATATCTTCCCACATCTCAAAGCTCAGTTTGAGCTTAAAATTAGCTATAGAGTGCTTATTGAAATTCCTTATGATTTGGGTGGTATTATTTAATCCTTGTATATTAAGATTTTTGAACTTAATACTTTGGGCGTCATGGTCTGATAGGCCGTTAATGTGGGGATATACATTATAATTAGCGTTTTTAGACACATCTAAAAAAATATTTTCAATGGCCGTTGCTACTTCATTTTGCACTCTAGTTGGAAAATTTACAACACTAGTTAAATTAAATGTAGACAGTAAGGTATCAAATTGCTGCTTTTTTTACAGTTGTTATCTAGGTAGTTTATATTGAGGTCCCCACATATAATAAAATTTATATTTACATTATATAGATTATTCAGATAATTTCCGATCATCTTCAAAAACCACTGGAAATTCCCATCAGGAGACCTATAGATAGATATAACACAGATGATAGAAGTTGATAAGTTAATTTTTATGGCACAAACTTCAATGTCTTGTTCCTTGCAAAATTCTTGTAAATTAATAGTTATAAAACTTATAAATTCATGAATAAAAATGCATGTTCCACCATCTTTTAATTTTTCTCTACAGAATTTTGCTCCTAACTTATAATGTTCTATTGGTGAGCTTTCCAGTTCAAATTCCCTTAAATGGTATTCTGTTATGCATTAAATATGAGGGAGTTCCGGGAGTAGTGAGTTTACCATTTCAGTTCTTTTGTTTCTCAGTACCCTAATATTTTGATGGTATATCTTTATATTGTCGTCTGCTTTATTAAGTTCTAAATTAAATTCTAAGTTCTAAATCTTGGTAAGCATGTTCCCGTGGCAGTGAATACGCAACCAACAACAAAGAACTGTTGGACACTCTTTCTGTGTGGTCTGTATCATAACAAATACTCAGTAGATAATGTAAGAATATTAGGTGGTTAGTTCTTCCTAGAACGTTTGTTTAGCCAATAATTTTAAAATGATATATGATAAATATAAATATATGACATGATAAAATGATATATATATATATATGGAAAGCAAATGGAAAAACTACCACATTATCACTTTTCCTGGATAGTCTCTTTCCAAAAACAGAAGATCGCATTAAGTGGAGGAACTGTTTTGGAAGAGACTGTGGACCTGTCGTCTGACAGATTACTGATGAATGAATGAATACTACATTTTAATTTTTAATTCCTTCTGTGGAGTATTCCTGTTAAGAGTACACAGCTTCTGCAGTCTCGTTGAGATCTGGTCTAATCTAGTAAATTCGTCAGTATGTGTTTTGTAAAAAGAGAAAATTCTGGAATAAGTCAGTCGTCATGTTATATGCAGAAAAACATGTCCTTCCTAAATGTTTAATAACTATTCCAACATTGTAGTGTATGCTTCACGTAGAAACATTGTGTAAATTCTGGTGTCATGTGTTTTGCAATGTCACATATGATTATGTCACTCTGATATAAATACAAAACTTATGAGTCTGGAAAGGAAGTGACAAATTCAAATGTTATGAAACGTCGGTGCTGCGAAAGTATCCAATTGGTTATAAAAGCAATTTGATTTCATAGTGCAGTAAATAAATTTCATTGCTCTTCTGTATGTATCAAAGTACTCCTGTCTTTTTATATGTATATTGCATGTATTATTATGCTTATCATTTTGAAATTTTGTGTATGTTAACAGTTATTAGACTTATTTGACAGTGAAGACCCTCAGGAGCGTGAGTCTTAAACTATAAACTATAAACTATAAAGTAAACTATAAAGTCTCAGGTTCTGTGGAATTTCAGAAACATTTATTTACTCTACACAAATATTTTGGGTGGGCAGAACCAAACAGCATGGCACTGGGCGATTCTCAATATCATTCGCAACCGACTCAAGCACATCTGCCCAAGACACCACACTAGGGGGCAGGCCTATTTCAAATGGGACACTGACTATCCAGGCAGACACCTGCCACAGTTCTCCTCAGTTGTTACAAGAGGACAAAACCTTAAATATTGCCCTAACTCCTTGATTACCATTTCTTACTGTCCTCACATCTCAACTGAACATATGAAACTTCTGCAACTGATACAGCACATTAAATACCGTATGTCCAAAAAGTACCCTACTTTATTCTTTTCGCTGTAAGTAATGGTCAAAGGGGTGGGGAAACTGAGCGTAGTGGTAGAAAGGACTTTCATGCACACGCGTGATTTTTTGCTAACTCGCAACACTGCCGAAGTGGTGTAACACGTGTTCGTCGCATTCTCGTTTCGCCCAAGATGGCAGAACGCTTGGAGCAGCAATACTGAATTAAGTTTTGTCAGAAACTTGGGGATACCCAAACGGAAACAATCCACAAAATTCAGCAGGCTTTCGGCGATGATGCAATGGGGGTCACTCATATTAAAGAGTGGTTCAACCACTTTAAACATTGCCGTATGTCAGCGGACAGTGAGAAGCATTCCGGGAAACCGTCAATGCTGATGTCATTGAAAAAGTGCAGACACTGATCATGGAGGACCGTTGTTTGGCCATCCGTGAAGTTGCTGATGAGGTTGGGATCAGCAGAGGTTCCGCAAACAAAATTTTAACTGAGGATTTGGGCATGCGAAGAGTGGCGGCAAAATTTGTGCCCAAGCTGATTTTGCCGAACATCAACAACTCCATCTTGAAGTCGCACAGGACATGCTGGAGTGCGCCAACAGGGATCCTGAGTTCCTGAAGACTGTGATCACTGGCGACGAGTCGTGGGCGTGGAAACCAAGTTCCAGGCGTCACAGTGGAAGCATCCAACATCCTCAAGGCCCAAAAGAGTACGACAGGTTCGGAGCAATGTGAAGGTGATACCAAATGTTTTTTTTTTTTTGATTACCGGGGTGTTGTGCATCACCACTAGGCCAGACTGTCAATAAGGAATACTACCATACTGATGGCATACTGCCATCTTCGTGATGCAGTTTGGCGCAAGAGACCGGAGCTGTGGGATGCACGCAACTGGCAGCTGCATCATGACAACGCCCCAGCTCATTCATCACACCTGATTGAGGGTTTCCTGGCCAAGCACAGCATTCCGCAGGTTCGCCAGGCTCCCTACTCTCCTGACATGGCTCCTTGTGATTTCTGGCTGTTCCCGAGATTGAAAACACCGCTAAAAGGCTGCTGTTTTGACAGCCGCGAGGACACCATACAGAACACGACGGTGCAGCTGCACGCCATTCCAAAAGAAGCCTTCCAGAATTGCTTCCAGCGATGAAGGACCGCTGGGCTAAGTGTGTGGAGTCACAAGGGGCCTACTTTGAAGGAGATTAGGTATTGTAACCACCCAGATACAGAACTTTTTTTCCCAGCCCAAGGTCGGATACTTTTTGGAGGGAGTAATATACTACAAAATAAAACTAGGCATACCAACATCAAGGAGTCAACAGGTAGAAATATGTTGGACACATCTGTCTTCTGGGATATAACAACACCAGGCAGTTGCGAAAGTCAACAGACATTTTCGAGGAACATATCACCTCTATCATCATGGTCGAAGAGTAAGCACAACTTGGTGCATACTCCATGAGGCTTTCTTGCTTGGCTTTCATTGTGCTATACAGCACTACATTCCAGGCAGTAAAACTCAAGCAAAAATATATAGAAATAATTAAATAAACATCACTATTGTTGCCTCAACTATATATACCAATGTGAAGCTGCCGTACCTTAAACAGATTTCTTCCATTCAGTGGGACCAATGCCCCTCTCTCATCATATTGGTCTTTAACATCTTCAATGCCAGCACCAAGCAGTTCATTCCTCAGAAGACATGAGTATGGTGATCCATCACAATTCCAGCGGCCATTCTCAGTAGCCTTTCTTGTTAGTACACTATGGCCATCCTCCTAAAATTAAAATCACAGCAATTTCAAAGACATTTCCTCAATTACCCAGCACTAAGATGAATCCACACATATTATAAACAAAGGAAACATCGCAAATTTCAAATAAACATCTCAAATGAAATGAACTATATAACTACATCATAACAGCAAGTTTCAAATGATGATGCAGTGATACAGCTGCTCCAAATCTCAAAGAAATGAAATAAGAGACTGCATAAACGGAATGTAGAGATTTCTTCCCATTCATCTCTGCTCAAGAACAGTCTTAATATCAGAGAAGTGTTAAAATAACCTTGAACTGGGTCCCCTAATCTCTCTGTCAACATATAATTACACTCCATTAACTTTTAAGTGAAAATTAAAGTGCATAATGCACCTTACCTACATTACTGAATTCCTTATAACAAGTCTTCTTGAACCTACATAACCTCTTGTGTGTTCCCACACACACACTATGCCTGTGACTTTCATACAACCATATACAGTAATCATGATCCATTATCATCAGCTGCAAGGTAAGCACCAGAACAAATCCTCTCAACTTATTCTGGATTATCTGGTCTCTCTTTATCCTGGAGGCTTATACTGCATAATTCTTTGGATCATTCTATTGTGTTTCCTATGTTCACACCATTGGGGTTTGTATTGCTGAATTCTTTCCTCTAAATTGAAACTTCCCATCCAGGTGCACAGTCATGATCACAAAAGCTATGTCCACATACTCAGAGAAATTTCAGTGCTTCAACCCATCTTCTATCACTGATATTTAGTGTTCAACTTTTGGACCCTTTAACATAAGTACTACCATGAATGTTAGATACAGGTACTTATTAACCAAGTCTTGGTCATAACTACATGACACAAGTGGTTAAAATTTCCTCTCTATTCAATTACAATATGCCTCGCATCGTAAATTTCATTGCAATTATTCAATATGATCACAAATTATAATAAAAGAGATTATAAATGACCAACTGGACACAGATGTCATTATTTTTGTTTTCTTTGGAGAGGGTGACTCACCATATCTTGGAAACTGTGTTAGTTCCCAACAGCTTAAGAAACTGACACCATTTTCACTCCTTACAAGGAGGTTCTCATTAGGAAAAAGGCCTCTAAATAAACAGCGGTAACACTGCTAGTGACACAACAATCCTGACTCCTGGCACAGATAAACAGAGCCCATGTTATCCACCAGATAGGGTGCTTGCATCACTATGGTACTCCTTTTGTTGCAGCAGTCTTTTAGACGGAATGAAATATTAAAGTGGTGTGCTAAGGACAAACAGCACAGTTGGTATCCCATATCAGCAGAAGAGCAACATGACATTGCTCACCTACAGGAACTGCTGGTAGACCACAAGAACTCTTCATGCCAGGAATTTACCAGTCACACAGACATTAGTCCCCCACCAGAATGCAAAATTTATTCTATCCATAATTAATCCATCATACTTGTGAACTCAATTTATTCAAACACAATAATAAAGATTATTAAAAATACTCACTGTGATAGTGGCAAATTTAGTCAGCCAGTTGTTTCTATTGCGTGTTGGAATGAATCGATCACCGATCTTCCTATAGCGTGGGGTCTCAGATGTCAGTAAAATATGTCGCTGGAATTATAAATCAGACATCATTAGAATCTCAAATTTTCCAGTCAAATGAGAAATGTGCAAATCTTTCAAACGAAGTTCTTGGAACATGGCATGGATTTCAGTTCCTTTCAGAAACTTGTATGAAAACAAAACTGTAAATGTTATGCATATAATTGTCCTTTCAGGGATGAAACATGTGCAATGAAGGGGACAGAAAATAAATTTTTGACGAGTTAAAGAACGAACAATGTATAGGACTTTGAGAATCAAAACATTTACACCAAGACAGACACAGAGAATTTACTAAAAAAATTCCACCATGTTTCCTTTCAACAGTGAAAATATGTAGCACAAGTCTTCACATGAAGGCAGACAATACAGGGTGTTTCAAAAAGAGCTTTACAACTTTGAAAGCCTATATAGATTTATACAGAGGACATACACAACGCTTCGGACTGTCATAATGTAGCAAAACACACCAAGTTTTACCTTGGATAGTTATGGTTCAATGTGACTTCCACCGATAATGCGGTAGACGTCCCACCTGCAGTCAGTCTCTTGCCACACGCTACGTAGCATCTCTGGCATCACTTCTGCAACTGAGGCAGTAATTCGAGTTTGGAGCTCAACAAAATTTGCAGGCAAAGGTGGTACAAACACTCGATCTTTAACGAATCCCCATAAGAAAAAATCCAGGGGAGTGAGATCCAGGGAATGAGGTGGCCATGCTATCGGCGCCGTTCTACCAATCCACCGACCTGGGAAACAGGTGTTGAGGTACTCGCCCACTTCTCCAAGGTAATGAGGGGGTGCACCGTCTTGCTGTAAGTGAATGTGTCCTTCTTGGTCATCTTTGTCTAACTGTGGAATGAGGAACTCTTGGAGCATGTCGAAATATATGATACCGGTAATGGTCATCCCCATGAAGAAGAAGGGGCTGTACACTCTTTCTTTGCTGAGGGTGCAAAACACGTTCACCTTTGGGCTATCACGAACATGTTCCAGGGAGACACGTTGATTTTCGCTGCCCCAGATCCTGCAGTTGTGGGTATTCACCTAACCACTGACATGAAACGTGCTCTCATCACTGAAAATTACGGAGACCAGAAACTTCTCATCGTCTTGTATCCGATGAAACATTTGCACACAAAATTCCATATGAACCACCGTATCTGCAGCCGTAAGGTGTTAAACAATGGATAGTTTGTACGCTTTTAAGTGTAAACTTTTCGTAACACTCGCCGCACAGTAACATTTGGAATACCAGTTCCCCGAGACGCACGTCGCCTTGACTTTCATGGGCTTTGAACGAAGCTCTCCCTAATCTGTTCCACTGCAGCATCAGAAACATGTGGCCTACCGGGGAGCGCTCGCGGTGGCGGTATTGGGTACTACAGTACCATGTGCATGAAACTTGGTGTATTTTGCTACATTATGACAGTTCAAGACGATGTGTATATCCTCTCTATAAATTGCTATAAGCTTTCAAAGTTGTAAAGCTCTTTTTGAAACACCCTGTATACTCAGGGACAGGCTTAGAATTTAATTATGGCTGAAGTGAGGTTAGAACCTGTGATCACACCAAATCTTTCAGTAAGGATCTACTATAAATATGTAAGTGTGAACATTTCCTTTAACACACGCTTAACTATGTGTCTTTGCCAGAAGCAGCACACTTATATCAAAACATCTCACCACTGTAGATCATGGGCTCATTAACCATTCACCTCAAAGCCTACCACGTGTGATTCCTCATGTCAGACCATAATGCACAATAGGGATCACATGACCTGAATACACGCCTATCAAGAGGCCTACCTTGTGGGTTACATTTCTGTTGTTCTAGCTTGGGTGAGTAAAATGCGGATAACTCTTCGTAAAGCGTCCAATTAAAAACTTTGTCCCTTTGCTCATGCTGGATGCAAAGTTGGGTGGGCAGAGAGCTGTTTTGGACATGCTGATGCAGTGAAAATTCATGTCACCTTTGGATTTTGAACTTCTGCCATCCAGTTCATAGCAAGTCACTTTACTAGCCCAGCTGCCATGGTCTTAAGTAACCATTTACACATATATGATACTGAAACAAGTTCCACTTACTTTTTTTGCTGGCGGTGCCATGACAGGGGACACATCACTGCTTGATTCAAGGAAACCTCCAGATGGTGGCAATGCAGCTGTAAGTGGCCTTGCTTCTAAGGAACCACTAGATCCTAAGTTACCAGTATGTTTCCGCAACAAACGCCGTTCATAAGCAGAGTTCATCATGTTGGCTCAGATATTCCACAAACTAAAAAAAAAAAAAAAAAGATTTATAATCAGACTGGCATTCAAACATCAACTGCCCTTGTTTATAAATACATACACAAACTTAATTCAGCATAAAAATACAAACTTTTCCATATCATGGGACTAATGAAAGAAAATCACGAAACAAAATACATCACTTCTAAAAATAATGTCCCACAAATACATGGCACAGAACTGGCTCCCTGTGACAGCCCTGCAGTAGAGACTGCACAGAGTTCCCCCACTTCGCACACTGTCCCTCTCTGCACTCAAAGAGCACCTAACCACTGATTACTTTAAAAAAAAAAATGATAAAAACTTACACAAATTTTTTTACAAGACTTGCTAAAATTGACCCTCTTCTGCTTTCAAGCATGCCCCACAGCATGTAAACAAGTTCTGTGACATGCTGAAGTTCTGATGCAAATGCTTGCCATGGACTTGTATGAGGAGCATGCTACACCACTGCCTTTACATTGTATAATGATGCTTGGTTAACTCGCACGAGGATTTCACTCATATATTTTGAACAACTTCACAATATGACAATGACTCAATCATCAAACATAATGAGATCAATACCATAGGCAAAAAGTTCTACTTGGTAAAGACTTCTTTCTTAATTTTGAAGTCTGAGTTTGTTACTTGGGGTATAAAACTAAACAGCGAGTTTTCACAGTTGGAGCCTTCAAATAAAATGAAAACTTTTGGAAAGCACGCAAGGAGGTTAGTTCATAAATGCCACAAAATTGAGTTCCTAGTCATGCATATTGAAGCTTGTCAGCAAGTGGTTTGTGACAAAAATAAAAAATCCAAGAGGAATGTGCATACTGAAGAAAAAGTTCAAGATATTTACACACAATAAGTGACTGGTAATCACAAATTGTTAGGAAACTAGTTCTGATAAACCTTGCATTCACAGCCACTAGACCAATTAAATCCTGCCCCTATAAAAAAACATATCCATGACAAAGCTATGTTTACTCTCAGTGGTCATGTCAATATGCAAAATTTATGAACAAGAAGCCAATGATATCCTCATGTCATTCAACAAGTGCCACTACTCATTGGAAATGTAATGGCATGGTGTGCTGTAAAAGTGTGGTGAATCATTTACTTCAGAGCTTCAGATTGTGTTGCAAAAACTTGTTCACATGCTTTCAGACATGAGTGAAGGCAGAAGTGGTGGGCAGGTGTCAATGCTAGCAGTTGCTATGCAGTATGGGCAGTCTATGTCAATTCTTACAGTAATCATTAGTGAAGTTCTGCTTATACAGAGCCAGTTCACAATGTAAGGAAATTTAATCTTCATGCTTAACGTGCTGCCATACTTCCAGAACAGATGTCCGCTATATGCAAATTACATATTACATATTATATTTCTAAACATGAAAATGCTACAAGCACTTACTACATATGGCAAGTAACGTTTATTGCACAAGCCTGCTGCATTTGGAATTTTATTATATAAATTCACATTTCGCTTCCCAGATCTAATTCGTATGTTGGAAACCTAACATTCACTGCGCAACCGAGAATAAGTATCCCATATCTTTTCTGTTCAAAGAGTTCCCTAATAAAATTCATGCACCCTGATGAGTCACAGTTCATAAGCACTTAGAACTAATAAATCTGGGGCAGATAACAATTGTGCAGGTTCAGAAACTTAGCACATATTACATACCTTCTTTAAATCCACAAAAAAACAGTTTAAAATCTATCAATTCTTCGGAAAACACTTCAACATCCACAAAACTTATGCATACACCAACCGTCAAAACAAAACAGTAACGGTAACGACTGCCGGTTCTGCCAGCCAACCACAATTGAGATCAGTCATCACAGATTACTTATACACAGCAATTGCTAACTATAGATACTTTTATCACAGATTATTAAATGCGTGTTATAAAAAGAAACCTGTACTTTGCCATTTAAATCATTAGCATATTAACTATAATTTTAAAAATATAACACTTAATTCACCGTACACAAAACAGGCATACAAATCACAAGAACTCTATATATACACTGAAGTGCCAAAAGTCATGGGATAAGTACAAAGTATCGTGTTGGACCCCCTCCAGCCCGGCGAAGTGCAGCAATTCGACGTGGCATCGATTCCACAAATGGACGGAAGACCCTGGAGGCTCTGGAGTGATCTGGAGAGATGCTGAGCCACGCCGTCTGGATCGGTCTGGAAGTCTGGATATAGCCGCCCACAGCTCCCTGGTATTTGTAGGTGCAGGTTTTTGGGTGACTCATCGGACCATGCTACATATTGCCTATCATCCAGGGGCTCCGGGGCCCAATTAGCGACGTCACAACCCCAGGTGAGGCGCTGTGTCCGGTGTCGTAGTGTTAACCGTCTTAACCGTGTTAATGGTGTTAACAGAGGCACTCTGGTCGAGAACGATCGACAAGATCGAGATGGTCGAGATCAGTCGAAATCACCGGTCGTGGCAGTTACTGGTCTGAGGGCTCTGAGCGCTCTGAGGGCTCTGAGGACCTCAAGTTGAAATTATAGGCATTTGAAAGCAGAAAAAAGTGTGATAAAAACAACGAACTGTCTCTACGTTTGCAATCTGTGATATGGTATCAGTCGCATACTGAATTATAGCATACAGCGCAATTTTCGTGTGACATAACCATTTTCTATTTTGTAAGATTTGAGGCTTTCACGGCGGTGACTATGAAGAAAGCAGTCTTCTGGGATTTGGCACCGTGTATATGTGGTGTTAACCGACGTTTCGGAGGAACGTATCGCCCCCATCTTCAGGGTAGAAGAAAAAGTATAAGAAATCTGCAAGCGACAACACCGTGAGAAACGGTAAAGCAGACTGCTTTACCGTTTGCTTGCAGATTTCTTATACTTTTTATTCTACCCTGAAGATGGGGGCGATACGTTCCTCCGAAACGTCGCTTAACATCACATATACACGGTGCCAAATCCCAGAAGACTGCTTTCTTCATTTTCTATTTTCTCTGCTCCGTTGGCTCCGATCGAATTTTCTATTGGCTAATGCGACGATAGCAGACGATATGATATAATCGACGAGATCGACGATACAGAACAATGACTGTACCGTGGGTTTGGTTGTTGTGGTTGCTACGTCGGTAGGAAATATTGACAAGTATTTTGAAATAGGCTGATTTGAGGCTAAAATTCACATTTGTATCTGTTTCGAGCCTACTATCCTGAAGTTAAAACCTTAAGAAGCCGTGTATGAAACAGAGAAAAGGTATTGTGGTAGTCTTTAACAGCCGTAACCTTTCCAAATAGTTGACTGTTCTGGGAAAAGTGATGCGTTTGGATGATTGCTCTTGATAAAATAACCCGGAAGAAGTCATCGCGGATTCTGAATACGTAAAAAGGTAAAAGAAAGGTATATCTTCTTGTTCATACGCATTGTGGATCATAATATGCTGATATCGATTTAAGTACGGCACAAGCAATTATAATTGTTGTGTTGTCGATGGGTTTCATTGTATTTTTTCCCGAAAATTGAACATAAAATTATGTTACTGCTCAGTGACTTGTAAATAGTGGTCTTGTGATATATGTAATGTACCGTCAACCTGGTTAAATTCAACTCAATTTTCTACTCTCTAATGATAAATGTTTTAGTTTTTGTACATCAGCATTGATGTTCAATTAGTGTTATTCTTAGGGCTCTTTAGTATCAAGTGATGTCTTGTAACTTGTTCTACAAGCTTTCCTGTATTGCAGGCTATGATCTGAAATTTTCAAAATTTCAGCTCAAAGTTACCTCTAAATGGACTTGCTTTGACCCATATGTCAGTCCACATATTCAGGTACATAACCGTTGGATATAGACATTGCCAGTAGATTAGATTAGAATCTATATAAGAAAATGGTTTATGAATAATTCATTATCATTAAATTTTAACAAAACTAACTTTGTGCATTTTTCATCAAAAGTAAATACTACATTAAACATAAATCTAAACTATAAGGATGTTCAAATTAAAAATACTTATAATACAAAATTCCTAGGACTAACCACAGATAATACCTTATCATGGTAAGATCAAATAAATCAGTTGGTAACTGAGCTGAGTGCGGCTAGTTATTCTATTAGAACTCTATCCGCATTTATGACTCAGGAGAGTTTAAGAATGATTTATTTTGCATATGTACATTCCATTATGTCATATGGAGTAATATTTTGGGGCAATTCGACGCATAGTAATTTAATCTTCAAAATCTAAAAATGACTAGTGAGAATTATTATGAAGGCAAGAAATAAGGACTCTTGTCATCCATTGTTCAGGCAGTTAAATATTCTGCCCTTATATTCTCAATATATATTTTCTGTATCAATTTTTGTAGTTAAGAATTTAAGGTTCTAAAAATTTAATTCTATACACAGCATTGACACCAGAGAAGGCTTTGACTTACATTTTCCAATTAATAAATTAGCTAAAGTGCAGAATTGTGTATACTATTCAGGGATTAGGATATTCAGTAATCTATCTCAAGACGTCAGGAATCTATTAAATGATATTACTAAATTCAAACAGGTTCTAAAAAATTTTCTTCTTGCTGGTTCATTTTATTCTTTAAATGAATATTATGAATGGAACACAAGGGGTGATCTTGGTTCTTATAAATACTATCTAAAATTAACCTTGACAAGTCCTATTAACTAAAAATTTATAAATAATCATCTACTTTAGATCTGCATACATACCTGCTATGACTTTATTTTAATGTACAATCTCTTGTTTTATAAATGTATGTATTTATTACCATAAAAGTTATTTAATACATTTCTGAGAGAATTTATTTATTCCATTTATTGTTGAGGCATGTTAGATGTTTCTATAGTTTTTCTTTTGATGTATGAGTGATGTAACATACATTATTTGATATTGTATTGTTTATTGATAATATCCATTCATATGCATTTTTTATAAACTGAATTAATTTTATAAGATAAATTCTTAATTTGTTTTCATCTAGTATTTAAGTCTTGTTGTAGTCATATTTTATTATGTTTAGTGACTGTGTTGTCTATGTTTTATATTATGTTATTTTGACTTGTTCCAGTGATAGGTTGGCACATTTGTTTTGATTTTTGACACATTCTATATCCAGTGGTGCGTGAACTTGTTTTGCGCCCTGTAATTGGATCTACTTGAATATAAGAATAAATTAAATTAAATTAATATATGAATGTAACTATGAAGAAGTAAATAAAGACATTTAGAATTCTGCAATGAAAATTTCAAGATGCAGTTTTAAAACTGAATAAAACCAGGCAACAGAAGAACTACCTCTTGTACTAAGCAAGTTCTGTGAATTAATTTTTTGTTTTATAGTAAATCAGCTGTAAACCAAAACGTCTTTTTTTTTCCTGGCCATTTTGAACCAGACCAAGATACAGTTGCTTGTCTTTCCGTGTAATGATGTCACCTTTTTTTTTCAAAGTTTTGTCTAAATTGTAAGTTTCACAACTTTGTGGGTGTTATGTTTTTATTTAATTTTCTGATACAGACTTCAGAATTCATGGACTCTGAGGTCATCAGTACAAGAACTTGTATCTAGTGACACACTGACTTTTCTTAGACTTCATTGTTTTGTAGAGGGATCTTAATTGCATGATGGAGTGGGAGAACCAGTAGGGATTTCACCATCTTGTGAACATATGTGCTCTCTTTTGCACCAGATGATAGAAGAACACATTGGAAATTAAATCCACACTGACATATTTCTGTGGCAGACATACTGGAAGTTGTTGCTTGTCAAGAGAGAAAATTACAGATTTTTGAAATCCTAATATCATTTCATTTCCTTTATTTTCCATATTTCCATACAGGCAAAAATCCTAGGATGTGGAAATAGTCCATTTGATTATAGATGTATACATGTAATAGATTACATAAGTCACACAACTAAAATAACACACATACACCAGTTAACTAACACAGGCAATATTAAAAAACAAAACAAGAACTTATTACAATTGTAACTAAACATAATTTAAAAAGTACATAAAAACTTAAAATTAATACAATTTTCCCAAAAATCAAAATATATTGATACAGGACTCATCATATACATACATACACATCCTCCATTTTCACCATACAGGGAACAAACCCAGGATGTGGAAATAGTCATCAAACACATAGACAAAGTCACACAAGTCATACCACGAAGATCATCCACATTAAATATCGTATTTTCACATTTATATTCCAGTAGTACAGTCATCAGCTCCAATAAAGATGGCAGCATGTTCATTCATACTATGTCTTCCAATTGTATTTTTCAGTATGCTCCTCTATGCTACTTTCATGGATGGAAGTATGTAACATTCCATGGCTGTTAGATGGTTACATTTAGGAGGGAGATACACAAACTGTGTTGGACTTAAAAGACATGTTCAGACTGTCTGTATTCAAGGAGGCTACATTTGATCTTTCTGGAGATTAGGGGTTTCTGAATATACAGGAATGAATTATGCCATAGATTCTCATGATTAGGAAAAATATAGAAATGTGTAAAAGTGAGTAAGTTTAATGGAAGTGATTATGAGTAGTTAAGTATTCAGGTATTGAAAAAAATTTGAAATGCCAAGAGGATGGTATTTGTTTTAGGTTGTGCAGATGAGCAAATATTCCAGTGATTCTGATTCAGGTAGAGGGAACAGCCATAGTCAGCGCAGCAAGATGAGAGGAAGGTATGCATGTGTATTGTGTAATCTAAACTAGAGTATTATGGTGTCCAGATTGTATATTAAACTGGTTCAAATCACATCTATTGGATAGAAAACAGAGAGTGTACATTAAAGCTAATGATGGTCAGGACTATTTTTCATCTTGGGAAAGTTAAGCAAGGGGTTCTTCAGGGGTCGGTTTTGGGACCACTTCTATTTATTATTTACACTAATGATTTGCCTCCGTATATCAATAAACTGGCTAAAGTTTTTCTTTTTGCTGATGATACCAATATTTTGGTTACCGGTAATAATCATGCTGAGCTTAAGCATAAAGTCATGGGTACACTGTCTCTTATTATAAATTGGTTCACAGCTAATAAGTTGGCCTTAAATATCACTAAAAGTAATATTATTAGATTTGCTCTAAAACAGTCTTATAACTCTCTGGCAGTTGCTAGCGGGTATTTGTTTATGAAGTTCCTGTGATAAAATTAAACTACAGCACAAAAATGAACTGTGAATTATCACCTACCGTAACGGGTTGGTATGAAAAGAATGCCATGTCATCTTTGACAGCCAGTCTGGTGATAAACTGTACATCCTGTATGTGGTGTATATTATTCATTCACTCAAAGGTCTCAACTGTTAATCATAATGGTAATCATCTTTCCCTACCAATATATATATATCAGTAGGGAAAGACAATTACCATTATGATATATATGAGTATATATAAATAATTACATCCCACCATGTTTAAAAATCTCAAATTTTCAGATCCAGTCAGTTAGCCTGTTTGCACAGTAAATGCTAAGAAGCTAGTCAGTCTCAACAGGGGTTCCATAAAACTATCTTCACTGGTTCAGTTAATAGAAATTTTGAACATTCTGATAGTTATGTAGCTAGAAGACAATCTTCCACTTTGGCATTCCAGACAAACCTTTGAACTGCCATTTAAGTGGTGACTGGTGAAATGAATCCTGATTCTAGCTAACTAGTTGCCTCCACACTAGAACCAAGAAATAAACTGTGACTCAAGAGATTCGAATTCTCTATACTGGAAAATCACAAGTGTAACTCATCAAACTATAGTAATTGAAGAAAGTAAATATGACAATCACTGATGATTTAGGATTATATAGTCCCAGGGGACTCAATCTAAAATCTGGTTTGCCTACATTGCTAGACATATTTAACACTTGGTGTATATTCCAGATCAAGGAGCTCCTCTGGATCCAGTTCTGACAGTCATTACTCTTACAAGAAGAAGTCTTATAAGCACAAGCGAAGCAAGGGACATCGTTCCAGAAGTCGAGATAGACGTGGTAGATCTTGGTAAGAAATTTCCACATTGACTGTATCTGGACCTAGTGGGGTCGGATCATCTGTCCTAAGGTAGTGTCAGGGGCTTATCCAGTTATAATTGTTCAGGCTTCATTTATTTAATGTGGCTAGCTGAAGATACAAAGATGGAGTGTGAAGCTCACCATGCACCTCCACCTAGCTTCCAGATTAAAAATGCATCCACTATACACCTTCATAGCACAATGCTTAAGTATGAGAATAACTTTACCTATGAAATTATAGTCATGATAATTTTAATTGAATTCTTCTTGCCCAGTGATAGTAGACTTAACACCTGGCTCCTCTTGTCATAGTGCTGCATCCCTTATTCTGAAGTTTGAATGCCCAAATTTACCTTTGGGTCAGTAATGTGGCTGAGTGATGCTGCCTGAAAGTTAGCTGGAGATGCATAGGAGGGTTCGTGGTAGAAACTTCAACAGCCTTGAAGCTTGCTTGTGAAGAATGTATCACATTTTCTGAAGAACTCATCGTGTGTGTCCATATCAGGGGTTGATGATCTCTGACCACTGTGGACTTCTTCCTCACAAACAAGGCCTGAATTGTCTGCATGACTGAACTATGACTGTTATTTCATGTTCATATGTGCTACAGTATCATTCCTTTGGGCTTTACTAACACTTTACTTGCAGCCATAGTTGGTGGAACATTTACCTGCGGGTCCTTGGCTCAGCACCTCTCCTACTGAATTGGCATTCACTTTACAACTAGGAACTCATCCAAATCAGGACAGTGTAACAAGTGTTGTCTGCTCAAATTCTTTATTGTTTGAAATGTCTTCCTGCTCTGTTTCCCATATATATGAGATGTTCTTACCTGTTAATTTGTGTAGCAGTTTTGCAAATACACTGAACTTTGGTATGAATTACCTGTAGTACCTGGGCTAAACCTAAGACTTTAAATGCTTCATAGACCTGGGTACAGTAGTACTACAGATTTCTGAAAATTTTTAAAATAGGTTACATCCATGGAGAACATTTAACTTTTCATTTGTCAGTAATCCCAAGCTTCTAGTTTTAGTGCATGCCAGCAGAGTTTCCCATCTCATAAAACAGTCAAGGTCAAGACACAAAAGACTGGTATACTTCCTGGGCTTAAAACTAAATGTTATGAGTTTACAGACCCGAGATAAATTTGTGTGATTGTGCCCTAGCTCAAGTGGTTAGTTGCTGGCTTCCCACCGCGGTGGCCCAGGGTTGATCCCGGGTCTGGTCAAGTGGGATTTGTGGTGGACAAAGTGGCGCTGGGGCAGGTTTTCTCAGTACTTCGGTTTCCCCTGCCAATCTTCATTCCACCAATTGTTCCACAGTCACCCTCACCTATCATCTGGGGCTGGTACAATAGGCCAGAAGTGGCCACAGTATAAGGGACTTGGTCCCACCCCACTAGCAATAAAAGAAAAATAAGTTTGTGTGATTCACTGCAGTTCCTTGTGCAGTGCAAGCAGTGTACATATTGAACAGGTAAATATGATATGAGTCCAGTTCTGCTTTGCACCCAGTGCAACTTTCATAGCAGACAATAGCACAGATTATAAATGACAGATTCAGATGATGTACTGAAATTCTTGACAGTGAGAGTCTCTTACAGCACTTTTGTTCTTGTGATCTATTAGTAGAGTGTAAAAAGACACTGAGAGCCAGTCCTAAAGAACCAAACTGTGATTCTGAATTAGGATGGAGCTACAGATTTGTAACAGTACAGAGACATGCATATTCTGGCTTTCCAGGGACTAATGAGAATTTATTCATTAACAAGAACAGCTCATCAGTTAAGATCTTTTGATAATAAAATTTTCAAAATTATACAGGATCCAACAAACTTGTAAGCAACAAAAGAGCAAGGAGCAGTAACAAGTACTCTGAGAATAGTAGTACTTGCCTAGTGAAACATGTCACAGGAACTGTATTTTTTTTGTACCTGTCATGCATGTGTGTTACTTTAGCCATCTGTGTGAGATTGTTGGAATGAAAGACCAACAGTTCAGACCACCTGCACATTAGTTGGTATAGTTCACAGTGTTGGCTATGTTTCATATCAGTAATGACAAACAGGTACCCAGAGGACAACACGACTTAACAAGTACTCTGTACTCCAAATTCACCTAAATATTTCAAGTATCCCCACCTGACGAACGGCTCACCATTGATGAGACAATTTGTGCATTTCAGGTTTGCATGCATATGCTTAATTGTGTACATCAAGATTTTTGAATAGTTATGTGACAAAAAGTGGCTGTGTGCACAACATCGAGGTGTATGCCAGCACAGATGCCACTGACAATGAACTCAACACTGCATTTAATGTTGCTGACAAGTTGTGCCATCATATGAATGAGGGACATAGTGTATACATGAATTCATTGTTTTGTAGCCTGAAACTCGTCTGTCACCTATGAACACATAAGGCAACATCTGTAGAGCCAGAACTGCCCAACAGAAGTTACCAAAAGGCATTTTCATCAAAACTAATAATTGGGGTGAAAAAAATCTCTGTCAGATGCACCATGTCCTGTCCATATAATGCAGACATCCACAGCATTCACATATTGACTACTTCCCAGTGATGAGAAAGTTTGAGGGACTGGCATCCAGACAGCACCCCTCACCACCACCAGAAGTGATTATAGATGAAAACAAATACAGAATTGGCTTTGATAAGTGCAACCAAATAATCATTCCAGAGGAAAACAGTGAATGGTTGTAGAACGTTTAGAGCTATTCTGCAGGGCAGTTGCTGAAGGTCTACTCAGTGATGCCAGGCAAGAACTTCAGAATCTTAAGTACTTCTGCAGGAACTTACCAGAAAGCATGGTTTTCCATACAAAATTCTGGTACACAGACAAAAGTGAAAGGCAGTCTCACAAAATCTGAAAATTGTATGGAGACTGTGGCAAGCACCAAACAGGAAACCTGTAAGAGCACTGCCAGAGGTGTGCTGTGGGGCTTGCTTATGGGAATGTTTTGAAGACTGCTAATCAAAAACAGGTAACTGGGAGTGACCTTGTGAAGTTAAATATAGTTCACCTGATGAAAGGATGACATTACATACAGTATACAAGTTATTATGTCTTTATTTATGGCAACCCCTAACCATAAAAGTGAAGCATCTGTGTATAACACAGTCCGTCAATAATGCAACAAATTGTTCCTTTTTCTTCCACTTATACTTTACCACGACATATTTCGGTCTCAGATGGCCATCTTCAGGTGTCTTAATATATCAAAACTGGTACACTACAGTAAAATCACACGCTGTGGTGCACTTAATAAATTAAAATAAAATCCATTAAAATTTTCATCACTTTGGTGAAATTCTATTGAACTTCACAAGCGGTGTCATCCACTTGTTTAGAACTAATCGTACTTGTTTCTCTCCATGTTTTGTCACAGCAGCTTGTTTTTATGTTCACTAGTGCAGACACCACACACTGCTAGAGGGAACAGCGCACAAACAAGGGGCATGTCAGTACAAAGTAAACCAACATAATATAATGTAACATTAATAAGAATCAAAAACAGTATTAAAATGGGGCATTTTGTAGATTAAAGATTGCAGATGTAACAGAACAGGCTAACGAACATAAAAACAAGCTACTGCATCAAAACACATGGAGAGAAACAAGTATGATTTGTTCTAAACAAGTGGATGACACCACTTGTGAAGTTCAATAGAATTTCACCAAAGTGATGAAAATTTTAATGGATTTTATTTTATTTAAATTTAATTTATTAAGTGCACCACAGCGTGTGATTTTACTGCAGTGTACCAGTTTTGATATATTAAGACACCTGAAGATGGCCATTTGAGACTGAAACATGTCATGCTAAAGTATAAGTGGAAGAAAAATGAACAATTTGTTGCATTATTGACGGACTGTGTTATACACAGACGATTTAATATGGCTTGCAACAGGATGCTTAAATACACAATTGTAATAGTAAAGGTAAAGTTGTCCCTGTGCTTAATTAATTAAGGACCATAGCATGAAGATGTAGCAGTGAATGAAGGTATTGCTCCACCATTCTTGACCTTGGCTTTAACTGTAAGTATTCTATTTTTGGGAGAGAAGTCTTTGAGGGAAGCTCATATTTTTGTGTAACCAAATTTTGTACTTTTACATACAAAAATTAAGCAGGCTGATAAATTCCTTTTTATCTTAAAACTCCGGTACAGGGGATTTAATGATTTTAATATCTTCACACAGAATGTGTAAAGTATTCTACCATAACCAAGCCCTGAAATTAAAAATACAGGACAACTAGAATATTCTCTCCCAAAATTTATTTTTGATGAATACCATCAGATGCTTCTGTTCACAGCAGTCGGCATCACACCAAGACTTCAGACTCTTCCCATAGCTTGAGATCCCGTTCAAGGAGCAAAGGGCATAGTCGGAAGTCATCCAGAGACAGGTCACAGTCAGGAGAACAGACGTATTCAAAATCAAGATCGAGAGACCGCTCAAGGCGAAGGTCAGTATCCCGATCAAGATATCGGTCACAATCGGGGTCAAAAGAAAGAAGCAGGTACAGGTCGAGATCTCACTCAAGGTCAAGCTCCAAGAACAAGTCTCACTCTCCAGGCAGGAGGACATCAGGTTCACCTGGATCAGTGAAGCAGGAGCCAAGTACTGAGGAGCAACTACAGGCCAAACTTCAGCGGGCAATCAAGGCAGCTCAGTCAGCTGATGATCAGCTGAGGCAGCAGGGACTGCTGACAGGGGGATCTCGCAAAGAGGACCTGCACCAAGGCAAGTTACTTCACAGCACTGAGTCCACTAAATTAGATACTTTGGAGGACATGAGTATCTACCAAAGCAAGGAGAAAGTTTACACCATCTTTGCCTGGAGGGACTGAGAAATACCATGAAAGTGGTCAGTCTTGATAAATGTTGTCCTGGCCAAGAATCAAACTGAGCACCTCCCACATGCAAGTCAATTGTGTTACCATTACACTAGCCTGCTCAATCTGGGTTGTGAGACCATGCAGTTTGGAAGACAAATAGTAATGCTTCAGAGGAACCTCCCTGAGGAATGAGGCTGTAGGTTGCTTTGAAACACTGAACTACATAGTCTCACGTCACAGAAGACCATAATCTTCAAATTCACCACCATAACTTTAATTCTCACGGAGTAATATGCATAAGTGAATATCTGATGATATTATCAGTACATAATTAACTTTCAAAGGGCCAGGTTGTCTGTTGAATTCAAGTTCAAAATCCACTGTCAGCTGTCCCTGCTAGCCTATCATTTTCAAGGTTCTTGTCAGATCCTGTCATTTACCTTAAGATGCCAAAGACTGTGGCACCACTGTACTTCAGCTGTGCCACGTCTCAGGCATTTAATTGCTGGCCTGTTACTATGGTGTTCTGGGGTTGATCCTAGGTTAAGTCATATGGAATTTATGGTGGATAAAGTGGCACTGAAGCAGGGCTTCTCGAAATACTTTGTTTTCCTTGCCAGGTCCCATTCCACCAACTTCACATTCATTAGTCATCATAATGCAATGTCATATAGTGTCTCTGCTGACACCAATGTTAAATAACCTTGCAAAGAAGGGGGTGGATGAGCTGTACTTCGCTTTGACAAGCTGTCCTACACTTGAACAGTGTCCCCTTTTCCCAAGTATTAGTAGAAACATTAGATGATATGACATTTTAATAAGTACAAAAAGAAAAACCAGGAGATAGAAAATAAGAAACAGAAGAAACATTATAGGGATTCTAAAAATGAATACCTCGAAAGATAAATTAACAACAGGACAGAATGGTATGGGCAAGTTTTAGGATGAACACAGAATCCCAAAGATGATTTCAAACATGAAACCAAAAGCAGATTGCTCTAGAACAAGGGTCTCAAAACTACGGCAATTGTGCAGAAATGCGCCAATTGAACTAATTTTCCAGTGAGTACTGGTAAATGTGATTCTCAGCTTATTGACCTGACATATTATACTGCAGTTTGATGGCTTAGCTGTGGAAAGGTTCTTTCAGCTCAGGAATGAAATTGATATGTTTCTTACCGAGAAAAACCATCACGAACCACTTATATCAGATACTGAGTGGCTTTGGAAATTAGCATTTTTTGCTTATCTGGTGAACCATATGAACCATTTGAATTTAAAGTTGCAGGGCGAAAATAACTTAGTCTGTGATTTATTTGCACTTATCAAGGCATTCAGAGTAAAGCTGATACTTCTGGAAAGCCAAGTGAAAAATTGTAACTTTGTTCATATGCTATACTGTGCAGAGTTGCATAAAAAGTGTGAGGCAGAATTTCCTTCCTCGTTTGCAAATTTAGTCATTTCAGATTTGAAAGAATAATTTCAGAAGTGATTTGCTGATTTGGATTCCAGTGCTCAGAAAATTAGATTGTTTCAAAATCCGTTTGACTGTAATGCTGCAGATGTTCCAAGTCAAATTCAAATGGAAANTGACCATTTAAAGTAACTACTTGTGATTAGCATTTCAAAATTTTAACCTCAATTTAATCAGATTTTAAGAATGCAAAACGAGTTCCGTCATTCACATTGTTTTATTATAATTTGTGATGAAAATATGAGCATTTGCTGCTACTCTCTGTTGTCATTAATATACGATAATTTATTCTCACATACTTTGTATTTAGTTTATGAAATTCTGTGCTTTCAATAAAAGTCATATACCTAGAGTTATTAATTTCTCATTTTATCCGGCCCGTTGAAAGTGCTGAATTACCTAATGTGGCCCGTGGTTCGAAAAGTTTGGAGACCCCTGCTCTAGAAGATGCTAAATGACAGGTACAAGGGGTCAGGAAAGATGTGATACTGCAGGAAGAATATAGAGGGAAACTAAGAAGTTGTATTTTTGGAAGGGCAGAGACAGATGGCAAGACTTGACTGTCCACATACAGTAGAAACATCAAAGAGAGAAGGAATGAGGAAATTCAATTTATATAGTTCACCTGTTAGGGTGCTTTTGTTAATGGTATTTTTTCCCCAGAATTTCTTCTTAATTTCATAGTAGATTTGAGGTTCTCAAGAAGGCGACAAAGATGATTAGTGTTAATGTTAATGTTTGATAACACATCGGATGCCCAATAGCTTATCCTTTTGTCGTCTTATACAGAATTATTAACTATAAAAAAAGCTGGCAGCTTGAATACAGAAAACAAAACTGTTAACAGAATTTTTTAGGATTCCTGTTGAAAGCTTGAAGAGATAGAAAGATAGTATTAAAATATCTTATAAAACTAAATTGTGAGGCTTGTGCTCAACCGATTTTTTTTTTTAACAGATTCTATCACTCCAGTGTACCAGGCCAGTGTTCTAGATGAGATCAATGATCCAGGTTTTGTTCCAAAGCGCTTCACATCCTCAAAGTCTATTGTTAGCCAATTGCCTGAGACATCTGTGATTGACTTGACTACAGATGCAGTGCCTTCAGGAGTTCAGGCTACTGAAGACCCAGAGAGCATCTTCCACACAAGTGTGAGTATCATCACATAATCATGTCAGTGTTAAAAGAGTTCACTCCATCGCTTGTCGTGGATCAACTGCAGAAAGTCTTCCACCATTTTCTGGCCTATGACAATTCTGCACTGAACTTTTCAGTGATCTAACCTTTTCTAGCATTTGCCATGCAGGACACTTTAAATTCCTCATACTTGTGCTAGGCCAAATTAAAACTGTTGCTATGCAAAGGCTCATAAAATAAACTGCAGTTAATACATTTTAAGCTAGAAATCGAAACGAAAACTGCTTTATTAAGAATGAATCCCTGTCTATATATATATACGAGTAGATTTGAAATAACCATCTTCATGACATTTGAGGTTCTCATGGTGGACTGTGAAGAATACTATCTTCTGGGATGCTATGCCCTATAGTCTGGACAACAAATTACCAGTGTTTTGGAGGAACACTGGTAAACTTCTAGCAGACTACCCGACATAAAATCCCAAAAGATAGCAGTCTTAAACCATCTTTATGTATGCAACTTAGTTTACATTTCTTTGATTTTAATATATTTCTATCATCTAGTCTTCAAAATGTAGTGCTACACTTTTGAAGACTTCTGTGCCATACAGATTTGAACTGTGCTGGTGTATGTGGTAATACCTCCCTCCCTTCCCGCCTGCCATGTGTTGAGTCTCTGACTGTTCTAAATACAGCAGGTAAACATCTGATAGCTAGCTGAACAGCCTCACATTTCTTAGAATTCTTTGATGTAGCTAAGTAATAATTACTATTATTCAGCAATATGAATGGCTGTGAACTGGACAAGTAGCAGCAGTCTAACCCATATTGTCTTATGCTCGTAAGTGGGTTTATGCTATTTTAGTGTAGTGTACATTATTTCAAGCTGAAGATATAGCAGAGATGTCATATTTACTTCATACATTAAAGCCAGTAATGGCATATTTACTACCTGCACAGTGGGGCAGTGCTCTTACCTTCTTCACAGAAGCATGTTTCAGCACAACAACAACATAACTGAAGATACACTGACGTACATGCTGTCTGTTTTTCAATTCGTGGTTTTTCTTTTTTTCTTGAGCTGTCAGTTAAATATAGTTCATTTTCAACGTAGTTGCACATAATAATACTCTTGTCCTCAGAATCAAACCTGATATACTTCCATGGTGCTGTCAGTCCTTTTAGTGTATCCAGGAATGTATCTTTTTATCTTCTGCAAATTTCTCCTCTTCTTTGTGTTCTTCTGGTTTAACCACCTTTATCCAACACTGTCACTGTCACACTTTATATACTCTGAAAACTGTACTCCAGGAGCCTGTAAATTATGCCATTCAGCCTCCCACTTTCACTCAGTTTCATAGCACTCGTCACTGTTGCTGAAATAATCAGTCCAAAAGCCGCAATTCGCAAAACAGTTCATGATTGTAGTGGGTGTTATCAGCTGCCAGGCTCCTTCCATGAAATGCACTGCATATAACACATCAGTTTAATCATAGGATCCTGGTGCAGTGCCTCATCAATCATGGCTACAGCTTTCTGCAGTGGCACTTAAATGCATGGATGGGATACTTGGCCAGGGTGCTATTTGGGTAAGCAGCGTACTATCAATGAAAGCAAAATGTTATGATTTTTGGCACAAACTATCTATCCAGCTGTTTGCACCAGCTTTCAGATATTTTGGTTGAAATTAAAAAATTTGTAGAGGTACCCCTCATTTTATGAACACTTGATTTACAGATTTTTGCTACAACGAACTGTACCTGTTTTTCACTCGCTACAACCCACATTTGTTCGTCTGACAACTATTACATGTAAAGCGATGGGATTTTCATCTTCAATTTACAAATCTTGACCTTACAAATGCCATAAACAACAGTTTACCACCTCTTAAATCTCTCAACCCAAATATTAGAAGCATACAGGTTTTTTGTTAAAACACAAGCAGTAATGTGCAAAGCCTTCTCCTTCAGACAGGTGCCATTTTTGTAAATACGTGGGGCAATCCAAAATTTACCGAAATTTGAATTTTGTGCACGAATGGTTATGAGTACATCGAAATACCCCTGGGTGTCTCCTCACATATCCTTCTTGAATCAGTGTGGCAAGCGGCATCGAGTTGACTGGTTGGGTTTATTGTTGGTGAATGAATTTCCATTGTTGTGTTTCCGTGAGTTTGCGGTTTTGCGATGGCTGACCTGAGAGAGCAGCGTGTCTGTATAAAGTTTTGTTTCAAACTTGGGAAAACTGCTGCAGAAACGCACCAAATGTTGAAGCAAGCTTTTGGTGAAAACAGTTTAGGCCAGACAAAAACTTACAACTGGTATAAGCGTTTTAAAAATGGCCGAACATTGACTGATGATCACGATCGTTCGGGACGGCCGTCAACAGGCAAAACACCAGAAAATGTTGCGAAAGTTAGGAATCTGATTCTGCAAGATCATAGACTGACCATCCAAGACCTCTATAACACCTTGGGACTAAGTTATGGTACATGTCAATGAATTTTGTCAGAGGAACTGAACATGAGGAGGATTGTGGCGAAGTTTGTGCCATGACTGCTGCAAAATGAACAGAAGCAGCATCGCTTGGAAGTCTGCAGGGAACTTCAGCAACAGCTTCAAGAGGATCCAAACTTTCTTTCAAAGGTTGTCACTGGTGACGAAAGTTGGGTTTATGGCTACAACCCTGAAAGCAAGTGGCAGTTGTCGCAATGGAAGAGCTCTTCTTCACCTCGGCCAAAAAAAGCTCGACAAGTCAAGAGCAACATTAAGTCCATGTTGATCTGTTTCTTTGATATTGACGGAATTGTTCATAAGGAGTTTGTCCCTCCTGGTCAGACAGTCAATAAAGAGTTCTATCGCGATGTTCTAAGGCATTTGAGGGAGGACATGAGGAGAAAACGTCCAGAGAAGTGGCGCACGAACGACTGGGTACTCCACCATGACAACGCACGACTGCATACAGCTTACTTTGTGCAGGAATTTTTGGCTAAAAACAAGATGGCAGTTGTTCCCCACCCACCGTTCTCACCAGACTTAGCTCCATGCGACTTCTTTCTCTTCCCCAAGATGAAAATCAAGTTGAAGGGGTGAAAATTTGATACAGTTGAGGAAATTCAAGCGGAAACGCAGACGGTACTAAACGCCCTAACAAAGAAAGACTTCCAGGATGCATTTGAAAAGTGGCAGAAACGCTGGGATCGGTGTATGCGCTCCCAAGGGGACTACTTTGAATGTGATGGTGCAGAATAAGATCTAGGTAAGATGTAATAGTTTTTATTAATATATTTCGGGAACTTTTGGATTACACCACATATTTATTGCACATGATTGCAGTTCCTCCATCTGTCAACTTTTTAGAGACTTCTGCTGCTTGGAGAATTGTCCACACTGAGCATAACATTATTTATGGTTTGTCACAGTTGTCTTCATTATGAACACTGAAAGTTCCCTACCATGACACCAGTTTGATATGTTTTCCAGTATGCACATCAACATCATAAATGCTGAATACCTGAGAAACTTTCCAGTCAAAGCAGATTTACGTTTAGTCCAAATTCAGTTTTAGTGTATGAGTGCATTACTTCCAATTACTAAACACATATAATGTTCTGGATATATTCTGCATATACAAGGTGGTTCAAATATGACTGGGACTGATTTTTTTTTTAAACCATAATTGCCAGACACTTACTTGCACATGTCAGTCTTCAACGTACTCCCCTCTGGAGTCAACACATTTTTTCCAATGTTCTGGAACCATCCTGATGCCCTTTTCAAAAAAAGTCTTGCGGTTAGAGGCATATCCACTCCCAAACAGTCTGGATGACAGCATCGTTATCCACAAACTGCATGCCTTGCAAGTCTGATTTGAGCCTTCTGAACAAGTAGAAATCACTTGGGGCCAAATCGGGACTGTACGGCGGATGTGTCAGAAGGTTCCATTTCAATTTCCAGAGGGTTTCCATTGTTGTTTCGGCCATATGGGGGCGTGCATTGTCTTGAAGGAAGGCTACCCGCTTTCCACCTGGACCTTTTCCTTTGCGTCTGTTGCCAGGAGGTCTGAGTAATAAGCTGCATTGACTGTTCTGGCATCTGTCAGAAAGTCTACATGGATAACCCCCTGCCAGTCCCAGAAGTACGTTGCCATCACTTTTCCTGCCAAACGGCTCCTCTGCGCTCTCTTGTGTTTGGGAGAACTGGTATGCCTCCACTCGCGTGATGACTGCTGGGACTCGGGAATGAAGTAGTGCACCCACGTTTCATCGGTGGTCATTATAGACTTCAAAAATGCATCACCTTCATCTTCAAACTGCTGTAGGAGACAACTGGCAGCTTGCATGTGCACCATTTTGTTCACGTTCGTCAAAGTGCATGGTACCCACCGTCCATTCATCTTGCGTTAGTGCAGGTGGTATTTCCTGATGTCTTCTACACTACCAACACTGATGGACAGCAACGCTCCAAGTTCCTTGATAGTGATGCATCTATTCTCATGAATAAGGGCGTCTGCACGATCAATGTTTGGCTTGGTGACAGATGTTCGCGGCCGACGATCATGCGGTTCATTCTCCACGCGCTCTCTGCCCTCTCTGAAGCACTTACACCACTCAAACACATGGGTCCATGAGAGACACTCTTCCCCATACTGTTGTTGGAGTCTGTGGTGAATTTCAGCGGATGGGACATCTCCAACGAGGAATTTTATCACAATGCGTTGTTCCACGCTCTGTGGTACCTTCTGTTCACTCATCACTCTAGCAACTCCCAGACAGGACTGAACAGGTTCTAACCCAAACAGGAGGTAGGGTGGAGGTTGTGGCTTCACTCTCTCAAGGTCGCACAGCTGCTGCGCAGTGTGGCTTGTTTACACACAAATCAGTCCCAGTCATATTTGAACCACCTTGTATGTCTGTCAGAACTGTTATTGTCTCATGTAAGTCCCCCACGATTCCCAATATGTGGCTGGAAGTATCAGTCTGGTTTTCCCCACTTTCTTAAACCCTATGACCAAAACCATCCCAATGACTGCAGTTTCTCACATTCTCTTAAATTATCTGAGACATCCATCTCGAAGTCTGTAACTACTGAATAGCGAGAGCAACATGAACAGAATCCCCCTCCTACATTCCATACAAAATGTCAACTTCAGCATCCCCAGAATTTTGCTTCCATTAAAACCGTGATACCAAGATAAATTTTATCCTCTGTCAGACTGGTTAAGATATACTGGCTTTTTTAATTTTTTCCATCGTTCGGAATTCTAGGTTATAGAGGACACGACATTTCGGAAACTGGATCTGTTTTCGTCTTCAGGTGAGAAAGGAAGACACCTACTTAGTTGAGCTCCTTAGAAAGAGCTGATCTCAATCACTGGTGTCTTTCTTTCTCATCTGTAGACAGAAACAGATCTAGTTTCCAAAATGTTGTGTCCTCTATTACCTAGAATTCCAGATGATGGAAAAAGTCCAAAACCCAGTAATTCTGTGTCATCAACCATCATCAGAACCCTTTAGAATCTACTTGGTTAAGATATGTCAGATTACTGTTATTTAATAATGTACTGCCTCCAGCAGCTATGCATTGCTGGACAGCACAAATTATTAACCATAATCGCCTGTGCATCACACGATTGTGATGGCACGTGCTCCTTTAGTAGGCCTAGCATCACAATGTTTACAGTATACCAAATCCCATTACCACTGCGTTTAAATTTGATCATCAGCGCCACAGTAGTGGTAGACTGAAATCCAGATAAAGGTTAATACTCGGACAGTATAGAGTACTTAATCAAAAACATAAAATTGGGGTTTCTCTGTGTAACTCATCTTGCATGAAGCACTGCAAGTCCAAGTAAAACTGAGATCTGTGGTCCTGTTGTTATTGGAGGCAATGTTATTTCCTTGCTACAAATAATGTGGAACTTTGCTGTTTTAGATGTACAGTAAAACCCCCATCTTTATTGAAATCCTTCAAGATATTATGTAACTTGGTATTTTAGTTACCTTGACCTGCATCCACAATGTTCCACTTGCTCCAATTCCAACTTGAAGAAACTGCCTTTGGTAATTCATAATTCAGCTAAGGATATTCTCTGTTATCGAACCCAAAGGGCCACCAGTGTGACTAGAAAAACCATATCCCGAGCCAGTTTACAATCAACTGTATTCTATGAAACCCATTTTAATATTATCTTCCCACTTATTTCAGCTGACTCAGGACCCAAAGATGAAGCTGGACAGGTGGGTCAAGAAGCTGTTTCACATGCGTCAGAAAGCCATCAATGGAGAACCACTGGCATAAATATTTTTATTTATAATAATGATAACATAAACTCACATTTCATTCTGATTTCTCAGTTCCAACTTTTATAGATATGTATACATCAAGAAGAAATGAATATCCTGCATGGAAAAGTATGTGTTTAGAACTCTTCACATGGCCACTCTCTTCTGTTTTTGCTGGTTGTGCATTCATATTGCCAAAAACAAATGTAGCTATGATAGTATTATAAAAAGATGACACTGTGTATTAAGCAAGTTGTAATATTTATCTCTAGGAGAATTCCTGACACTAGATGCAGTCCAATTTAAACAAAATAATACCACAATTCTATAGTGACATACAAAAACTCTAGTACTGAATCAGTCTTTTGGTCTATGCTTGACCCTACCTTAGATGGAAACAAATCAACGTACAAAGTGAAATATAAATCTGGAAACATCTTAGCAATTTTACAAATTTTCTTAATTATATATAATGTGAAACATACTTCTTCCATGCCTAAGGGTTGGACTGCTCTTTTTCTGAAGCAAGGACCTCTGGCATATTGACAATGTTAAACTGAAGAATTTTGTCCCCTGCATACACTGCAAACAATGTGTTCTCCTCTTCTGCACTCCTCTTGAACACTGCAACCACAATGACATAATAATACACTACACAATTTGAGGAACATATGCTGAATGCACTAGTCTCAACTCACGTCACACTGAACAAAGATAACTCTCGGTTATGTTAACTGTACGCAGTTTCTTACAGATTAATAATTATAAAATATGGTGTACCTCATAGATTCACATGAATCATAAAATGAATGCATAAATCTTACAACACATTATAAACAATTGACATGGCCTCAGGAAAAGTAAAATTCTGTCATATTCCACAAACTTTCATCATTATCATGATACGTTAGTCTGTTCCATTTGTTGTGAAGCTAGGTGAAAACTGATCAGATGAATGCTATTATGCAACAGGGTGGGATGTATCAGCTTCTGTTTGCTTCTCAGCCAGTTACAGCTGGGTCATGCCCCAAACAGCCAAGCTTTCCCAAGTGACCTCAGATATCAGGCAATGGTTAGGCTAGCTCTTTGCCTTTGTCTCATTATTCTTGCCTTGGCTGAACAGCAAAACATGACAACACTGCCTCATATTACTGCCAAGCAGTTAACTGTTGTATTTCACTGTGAAGAAATCTACAGCAGGCACGTGCACAGAATTTCAGATCCACCACCACGGCCAAGCAGTACTTCTTGTTTTCAACATTTTCATGCTTAAATTATGTATCTTAAATTCCTGGATCAAAACGGAAATGAAAATCAGTCTTTTTCTAAATTATGAGGAATGTGTGAAAACATGCACACACAACTCCATGTCCTGCAATGCACAGTATCTGTGAAAATTAATTTCTTCTTAATGGACAGGTTCAGCAGCACATTATAGAATGGGTCACAAACAGGGCTAAGGAAAATACTCACTAACTCACTCACCATGGAGGAGTTAACAGAAACTGGTGGGTCAGCACATTTCAGCCTGTCAAAATATATTACAAAGTTATGAAATAAAATGATTTATCATGTTTATTGTGCAGAAAGCAAATTAAATAGTGTATTAGTTTTGTTCTAATCTGGAATAACATAGTCGTTATAGCGACTAGCTACAGGCTGGATGACTGAGGGTTCAGAGTTCAAGTCCCAGTAGGGTCAAGAATTTTCTCCAAGTCATCCAGACCGACTATGGGGTCTACCCAACCTCCTATCAGATGGTTACCGGGGGTAAAGCAGCCGAGGCATGAAGCTGACCACCCACCTCCAGCTTGTGCCAAAGTCAAGAAAATGTAGATCTATACATCCATTCATGGTGTTAACTAGTTAAGCACAGGGACACCTTTACTGTTTTACTATTAGTTTTTAACCCTGTCCATGCAGAAATTTTAAGTAGAAAGAGATTCATATTTTCATGGTATCTTACAAACTCAGTTTGCAAGATGATGCAGACATGAAGTATCATAGGGATGGTATGGCTGGTTTCTTTTCATTGATACCAAACACCCAAGATATTTAGGGAAAGATTTGTTACAGTGTTATACATATCTCTACAACATGGAAAGTATTTAAAATTAACATTTAATATACGACATAAACACCGTCCCAAGTGCAACAATTTACTGTAGTTCTTTTGTCTTGCCCTCTTCTACACTACATGTTTCAGCCGCAAACGGCCATCATCAGGTGTATGCACTTACGTAGCTGTTACACTACATCTAGTTTAAAATTTAAAACCATAAGTCTTCACAATTGTCCTTTTCATCGTTACCAACAGGTTTCGATTTATCAGAATCTACTTCGCTGATATCTGTCTGCTTTGTGCATTATCTTTGTTGCCTACACTCGTCAATTTTGATATTATGAACCAGCACTTTTAAAATCTTGAGTTATAATTTAAAATTCTTTTAAAAATTAAAATTCTCAGGGTTACTCATCCTATGTCTGTAGTGCTGCAGCAGCTACTTCTTGTTTTCAGCACTGCTATTCTGTGTAGGCTCCCTGTGTGCGGCCGCTGCTTATCTTTACTATGTGAGCACACGTTTATCACGGTACTGGTTTCGTGTTTAGACATGATGAACTTATGACTTGGGCAGAGCACAGTTTTGTTTTGAGAACTGAGAAGTAAATATTCATCTGTGCCCACAGATTAGTGCTTCTAGAGCTTTCAAGGAAGTGTGACGTTTTCAAGGATTTGTTTTCAGTAGCAAATTATCAGTTAGGAAGTCAGTGTTGGGTAGTCATTTATTTATAAACATTTTTGTGTCTCAGTAGGGGAATAAAGCCACTGAAGACAATAATGCACATAAGGGCTTTGTGGATAAATCTTACAGGACAAATTTTCTTCCCACCTTCTAGACATGACTGTTCTCAATGCCTATTTATTGCACAAGTCATGTGGTGGAAAAATGACATAAAAAATTCCACGAAATCCTAGTGCGAGATTTGATTGTACAGTCGCATGAGGCGAATATCACGGTCAGTGGCGTTTCTTGGGGGAGGCCGACTTCATTTGGGACCCAACTGAGTCAACTAGAGGTGAAACATTTGCAGCACTGGCCATCCAAAGGGAAACAAAGGCATCGTGTGTGTTCGCTAAATAAGGAAACCAGGAGCACCCTCCTCTATTGTAAAAAGTGTGATGTTGGTCTGTGTGTTGAGGACTGCTTCTAGAAGTGGCACACGCATGTCAAGAGTGTGAGCATTTAATGGAGTTATCATAAAATGTGAAGTCACCAAGTTCATACTCACATACAGTTTAATCAAAAGATTACTGTATATAGCGTGATTATTTTTTACAAAATAAATATGTCTGAAGTTTCAAGAAAAACGTAAAGGGAAGTCCTTTGGAATTTTGTCATATATGTATAATAAAGATGATTTTTATATTTCATGACAAAATAATCACAGTATATTTTCATTTGTAAAAATTGCTCTTTTGTGTATGTGTAGAAAATTTTGTTTTCAGGCTGTTTTTAGTTCGTATTTCTATACTGCATGAAATATGTATTTTTTCTGAAAGACTGCAACTTTAAAGACTTAGGGCCATTTAAATTCCGGCCGCAGCAGGTTCCCGACAATTTAAAAGTCCATACTTTAAAGGTTAAAAAGGATTAATCTGTTACTCACCAGAGGTCACAACTTTTTCCAACATATATGTAGGGACTCCGCTGCATTCGCGTGAGATGTAATAGCCTACATTCTTGTAGTCAGTGATAGGTGGTGTCACCACACGCATTGTTTCCCTCACCACATCAGTGTCCACCTCATAGTAACCTGTAACACACAAACATGCTGAGAAAAATGCATCCTTATCATTAGTATGGTGTGGTTTCTTACACAACACACATACCATCCCACATTTTCCTGATGAGGTCAAACAAAGATCTTGGAGGCAGAACTCGCTGGCGATTCAGAGGCATCACAAAGCATCTGTGTCCATCCAAATCAATGATTCCAGTCTTGTTCTGTCAACACAACAAGCATGTTGCAGGATCAGTTGCCAAAATATGTGCAATGCAGGAAAAGTCATAGTAATCTCCATGTTAGAACCCAAGTACCACACATACGGAATTAAAATCATGAATGAAACGTCCTCTTCGTCCATCCCGAAAGTCAGGCACGTTGATCTTCTCATAATCCTCATTTTCCAAGTCTATTTCAAACTCTTCTTGAAAGAAGCCGTCAGTTTTACCGTCACCTACGGAGGATGATCTTATCAGGCTCTGGAAGTAGAGTCAAGAAATGAATTTATATTAACTCAGTTCTGTCACAAATGATATTTCTAATAACATCAGCATATTTCTCTTGCTCTTCTGCCCATTCCATTTATACGAAGTTAAGTCTATAAGTAAGGTACAAATGGATATAGAACTTAAACAAATAAGAGTACTGATTTGAAAAATGCTTTTATTTCTCAACATAACCTTCCTGTACATTGAGGCACTTGTCCCATCGTTCCACACGCCCCCGAAAACCAGGAGCATAAAATTCTTTAGGCTGCTGTTGGAATCAGGCGTGTTCACATGGCATGGCCTACCTCATAATACATGACAGGTTAGGTTTTCACAAAGTTTGTGCATGATGGGTGCCGCGCATGCTGACCCCACAACACAAAATGCAAAGAATGGGTCTGGCATTGCAGCATCTCAATCTCTACCATGACGAAGGACACGATATGCTAGCCCAAACTGTCACAGGTGATGAGTCTTGGGTTCACCATTACCAGCCTGAGACAAAGTGTGCATCAATGCAGTGGAAACATCCTGTGTTGCCTGCCAAAAAAAAAGTCTAAGGTGACACCATCCCCCAGGAAAGTGACGCTCACAGTCTTCTGGGATCAGGAAGGCATACTGCTCACCACATTCCAACCTCAACTACAAACTGTAAATGCTGACTCCCACTGTAACATCCTCAGGAAACTTCGTAAGGCCATTTGATGGAAGCATGCAACCTGTCATGCATTATGAGGTAGGCCATGCCTTGTGAACATGCCTGGTTCTGACAGCAGCCCAAACAATTTTATGCTGCTGGTTTTCTGGGGCTTGTGAAACGATGGGACAAGTGCCTCAATGTACAGGGAGATTATGTTGAGAAATAAAGGCATTTTTTCAAATCAGTACTCTTATTTTATATCCATTTGTAACTTACTTTTAAATGCCATCACTACTACATCAGAATTAAGAGGGCAACTTTTATTTTTATCAGTCTTTAATTTTATAACAAGGTAGTGGTAAAACAGTAATCACTTCAGTCTGGTGCATGAAATTCTGTGACAGAAAAAAAGTATCTTAAAAAGGGGACATTTGGGAAATACCAATCAAAAACGGCATCCTGAGCACTGTACATTACCTTGAACAAATCATGGTCTGCAAAAGGGGAGGCATGCTGTTGGCTGGGGTTGTTCTTGTCATCCAGGTACATTGTTGCCTTGGTCCCCTCATATGGGATGCTGCACCAGCCACGGAAACTGTGCATCTGCAAGCAATGGTACATCACTTCATCCCCCTTTCCCAAGCAAAAGTACAACAGGATTCAGCAATAAGAAGAACTGTGAATGTACAAGGGCTATTCAGAAAGTAACCGCCAGTGAGATAAGAGAACAAGCAATGAGAAAAAAGTATTATATACAAAAAAAAAATATGTATATAAGCTACTGCTCAACATAGCCACTGACAGAACTGAGGCACTTATATCAGGAAACAAATGTTTGTTTTGTACATAAGCTACTGTTCAACATAGCCACTGCCAGAACTGAAGCACTTATATCAGGAAACAAGTTTTTGGATGTCTGTGTCAAAGTCGTCTGCTGTCTGTGAGCTCAGCCACATTTTGACACCTTCCATGAACTCCTCATTACTGCTGAAGTGCTGTGATCCCAACTAGTTCTTCAGGTAGGTAGGTATGAAGCTTCTGTAATCCCTACAGTTCAGCCATTTTTCACAACTTCAGAATTAAATTTCTGGTAGTTCAAGACCCTCTGCTGGTGGAAAAGGAAACCAGAGTATCCCATGGTATCTAAGATATGGTACAGCTACCGCTGCGATTAGTGACTGTATCATTATGGATAAAGCAAAGAAAAGCAAAATCCATCAGAACATAATGTTACAGTTCTGGTGAATGTCATATGATATTTATATCATATTATGATTTCTGACATCAGTGTGTTAATATTTGTTGTACCAACTGTAAAAATACTTAATTTCTTCTTCTCTTGCTTTTCAGAGCACAGTCATTCTGTCATGTGTCAGAGACTAGACATGGCGTTTGGACTGATAACTGAGCTTACTGAATGCTTATAACTCATAACACAGTTATAACACTGTCACTAATCTACACTCTAACTTGGCTGGCTGGTAAATTGCTGCTGGCCCTTGCCAACACAGTAATTCCTGGTTCCAAGTCCCACAGGACTCATGGCCTCAGCCTTCAGAATTACACACACTAACAAGTCGAAAATGATGTTATGACCGACGATCAGGTGGTCTTGGTGTCAATCCATATCTGGGGCCCCAAGACCAGGTTTTTGTTACTGTCATACAGTTGAGGGTTTGTTCACATGCGGCACCCTCTCTGACAAGAGGGCGGTCAATGTGTCAGTTAAGTTGCTGCTTGCCTTTACCAGCACAGTTTCCTCAAGATCCACGACCAATTCTTTTATTTCTATTAAAAAAAAAAACACCACCTCCAACAGCTCCTCTGTTGTTGTGTGACATGTAAGCAAGCTACAGCCTAGTGAGAGCATGCTTTCTATCAAGCCGTTACTTAGCAATAAATGACTTCTCTTGTTAAACTCTTCTGTCATGTCACAATATGTTCTGATTTCAGAGTTTGCTACATCTGCCATATGTGTCCCTTAATTTTGTATTCCAATTGGAGTTATAGGGAATTTATCATCATTTATTCCTTGTAGATGTTAAAACCACTTCGGTCAATATTCTATTTACTGGATATTTCTAATGTCTTTTTTACAAAATTTGTCCAATTCTGTGTAGCATCTAAACCTGCATAAAAATGCCACCTCACCAATCTATATTACGATCCTGCTGTTGTATTGCAGCTTTCGCAGCGGCATAAAGTGCAGGGGAGGCCAAAACTGTAAAATTTTTGTCCCATTTACCTCTTGAACATCCCCTCCCCCTTTTATATCACTGTATTGTTTATAACACACATAACATTCCAAATAACTGTCTGAAATCTGTTCCATCTCCAACCTCCTGTCACTTCATCTCTCTTCGGTCCAAATATTCTCAACACCCTGTTCTCATACATCCTCAGTCTATGTTCCTCCCTTAATGTCAGAGACAAAGTTTCACACCCATACAGAACCACAGACAAAATTATAGTTTTGTATATTCTAATTTTTATGTTTTTGGACAGCAGATGAGAAGATAAAAGGTTCTGGACTGAATGGTAACAAGCATTACACTGAGTTCAATCTCCTCTTAATTTCCTCCTGAATCAGGTTTTGATTTTTGGTCATTCCCAAATATCTGAACTGTGCCATATTTTCAAAACATCTGCTATCTATCTTTAGGTCATGATTTTGCTCTGCATTTTGGTGGTGAGATAGCAACATATACTTAAGTTTTCTTTGTGTTTATTTCGAGACCAACCTCATTACTAGCATCAATTAAAGTTTGTGTCTTTCTCTTTATGGTACCTATATTATCACCCAGTAGATTCATATCACCCAGCATAGACGAACAGCTGATGTGTCCCATTTAATTTCAGTCCTACCTGGTTTTCTTGGACCTTCCTAATGGCATATTCTAAAGCAGTGTTGAATAGCAGTGGCGATAAAGCATCTCCTTGTTTTAGACCATTCTGGACAGGAAAATTATCAGACAAATGTTTACCTATACAGACTTTACCATACATTTCGTTTAAACAGATTTTAATTAGCCTAACTAGTTTCATGGGTATGCCAAACTCTAACAGAATACTGTACAATACTTCCTTCCTAACTGAATCATAGGCTTTCTTGAAGTCTAAGAACGGCTGATGTACTGTTTCATTGTACTCCCATTTTTTTCAATATCTGATGAAGGCAAAAGATCTGATCAGTAGTTGATCTGTTACATTGAAATCCACACTAATAATCCCCAATAATTTCATCTATGTATGGACTTAGTCTTGAGGGAAGAATGTTGGATAAAATTTTGTATAAAGTTGATAGTGATATCCCACAATAATTACAGCAGTCAGTTTCATCATCCTTCTTGTGAACAGGTACTATAATATGTAAGATTTGAGGCTTTCACGGCGGTGACTATGAAGAAAGCAGTCTTCTGGGATAAGTGTATAAGTGTAAGTATAAGTGGTGTTAACCGACGTTTCGGAGGAACGTATCGCCTCCATCTTCAGGGTAGAAGAAAAAGTATAAGAAATCTGCATACACGGTGCCAAATCCCAGAAGACTGCTTTCTTCAGGTACTATAATAGACTCCTTCCATTGATCTGGCAATTTTTCCTTATTCAAAACAGAATTAATTAGCTTATGGATCTTGGAATGTAATATTTCCTCTCATACTTGAACAACTTCTGCCAGAATTTGATCGCTACCTTATGATTTATACCTTTTCCATTTTGCAATAGCAATTTCAGCTTTTGCTCTATATGTAGTATGAATTAAGAATACCTTTTCACAGGTTCTTTTACAATGCTACGCTAACATCTATCTGATAACTTCTTGTGTAAGTTCATGGACAGTGTTTTTCTGTACTTGCAAAATGTTCAAAAAAAAAATTAATTTCTTTCTCTTCTGGGTCTGAAAACAGGACTGTTACCTAGGGGTGAGGAGAAAGCATAAAAACCCTGAAAACAGACACCAGCTAAGATGGACCTTCTGTGTGCCCAACACAGCAGCAGTCAAACATGACCTAATTTTATAACAGTGCCAACACCTGCATTCTGATAAATTTTAAACATGCAATGAATGACACTTACTGTTCCAATATGGAACTAAATATTTTAAGTGGGATGAGAGGCACTCACAGAGGTGGTCATCAAGAGTACTAACACCGTGTAGTCTGTTGAAAGCCATCCAACATTTCAGAGGAACTTATCACCTCCACCTTCAAGGTCAAATAAGCCGAGTAAAATAAGTGCATGAAAGCAAGTAGCAAAGTTGAGGTTTGGTGTGCAATTAAATCAATGAAGATAAACTGGCTTGTGTATTTTAATGAAACAAATTCTGAACATTATGTGACATTAATTCTGTCACCTTTTGATCAACTGATGACAACAACAATTGCACAGCATTTCAGGACACACTGCATACAATTTGATTCAACAGATGAAGTCTTTGGCGTACGAATTGGCTACTGAGGTGAGTGCTTGCAAAACCAGTGCCACATCAGATGCAGGAACCAGGCTAATGATTAACTGCATACCTTGTATAAGAGCCATTCCATGTCAAATCAAACAATGCTGTCAAACATGTCATGTCAGTTTTTATGGTTTTTGTTTTAAAAGCAGATTTCCATGACGTGAAAATGTCCCAAATTTGAAGTATTTTTTTTTTGGTTATTAAATTCCTAGATTATAATTAATTAAATTAAGCAGAGGCATATTATATGAGCTGGAATAGCGCAGCTGCACTGCTAAGGAGTTGGAATGAGCCGTGGGAGGAGTGAAGTTTTCTTTTCTCCATGCCATCCAGACTGGTTCTGGGGCCCATTCAGCCTCCTATCCAATGGGTAACAGGGCTCTTTCTCCAGGGGTAAAGCGATTGGGGTGTTAAGCTGATCATTCATCTCCAACTAGTGCTAAGATCAAGAATATGTGGATCTATACAGAGACTCCCCCATATGCCTTCATAGCATAGTGCCTAATTAGTCAAGCACAAGGACAACTTTACCTCTTTTCGACACCTAAAACATGTGGTAGGCCTCTGTCACTAATGTGTGAATATGTTCGTTAATTAAACAGTCATAAATATAAAATTTGGTGCCAGCAGTAATTTTTGTCAGGGAATCTAATGGTCTGATGTTTGCACATATAACTGCAAAAGTCTGGCAGGACAACCCTTGCAGAAGTCTTTTTTAACAAATTAAAAAAAAAAACTTAACATAGGACTACAAGTAGGAACCTGCAGTTTCTACCCACCACAAACAAAGAACTGTATTATAAGAGAAATTTTAAACAAAGAAGTTTCACTGCAGTGATGATGAACAACGGTATAAATATGACAGCAGTAAACATTTCCTAGTAACTGATGATAATGAATTTAACATGTTTCAAAACTTACATACTGATGTGCTTGCAATTAAAATACACTTTTTTCAATGTGTACAGAAAAATGCCTGTGAACTATCAGCATGCTCAAATCTATACTCTGATCCTTTCCTTCCCTAGTGACACTGCTTGAAATGCATACAGACCATGAGCAAAGGGAATACACATTTATTTCCTCTTGTCACCATGAAAATGTCATATCATCTTGCCCTTTTCCTCTCATAAATTTTAGAAGGAAATCACCTTCTTGATCCTTACATATGATGATACATCCAATGGACCAGTGACTGTCACATACAACAGCAACATACTTTCTGGGGCAGAACTGGCTCATCTCTAGGGCTGGAGTCATTCTACCTCATCTCTGTTATCATCCACAATCAATATTCCCAAAACAGCAACCACGTAAACTCAAAATGTACGCTGTTTCATAAGTCAGTGAAGACTATATCACATTTCACCAGAATCAGAGTTGACAACACCAGTGAAAGTTAGATGTGGCTAAGCTCTACTCCAGACTTCGTCAAAAACTGTCTAAATGGGGCACAGTTCTGTTATCAGACATGACTACAAAAATTCATGGCAAGACTAAAATCACCAGCTGTGTCTACTTACCTGTGACCGGGCAAACTGTCTGTAGAGATACACACCACCAATGATGCCAATGCTCATCACTAACAAAGCAGTAAGGAAAAGACAAACAGTTGTTGCTGTTGAGACACGACGTGCACGAGCCTTCAGAATGAAATACTGTGGCTCTGCATGGGCAGCAGCCTCCAGGTCCACCTTAGGGGGCTGAAACATTCAAGTGAGCACAATTCCCCACCTTATTAATACATAAAAGTGTCATATTATTAGTCCATATATGTGTACAAAGCCCATCGTATCACAACTCCAAACATCTAAATTAAACACAAGTAAACCTCCATATATGTGGTTAAATCGAGCAATGAGTGTAATGTACAGCTCAAAACTGGAAATCAATGGCAAAAAGTGTTATTTATCCATGATGTCGTAGAAGATTCATCAGAACACATAATTTTGGCTTTTAAAATGTTTTAACTCTGACCATAGATAGAAATATAAAGAACAATGAAAAACAAGCAAGCTAAAAAAATGTTTACTGATAAGCTACAAAACAAATGAAAAATGGATATGCCACTTCCTAGAAAAAAAAACTGTCAAGTGTAATCTGGACAGACATAGCGTTTTGTTTCCTCTTCTTACAATTTATGACAACAGCTAAGTCCATTTTCTAGAGTACAGCAAACTAGTATGCCTTTTCCACATTTAGATCTAAATCCATAATTTGTGTTTCAAAATTTTGAAACATCTGCTAGATTTCCTTTATCAAAATTGCCTTCTCAAGACATAATTTCTTCTTCTTGCCATAGGAATGATGTTGCTCCAATTCTACAATGTCCATGTCAGTGAGTGGCTGTGAATGCAAATCCAGGCATTCTTTGACATGGGGTGAATCAACATCTTCAAAGCCCAAATCCTTTCCAATGACACTATTTTTTTCAATAACAGAGTCAAACCGATTTCTGAAGGCAAAGACGTTATTTGCACAGTAAGGCAGAAGATATTTCCATACTGCTCTAATCGTATTAGCCGCAACTTCTTGCCAGTGACTCATTAATATTTTCAACAGCTTGCCTAATGTTAAAATTCTTCCAAAATTCAATCAATGAAACTGCACCTTCCCTTGCTGTAGCTTGCAGCGCTTGCACAATAGTTCTTCATAGATAACAGGCCTTCAAAGTTGAAATTATTCCCTGGTCCACTGGCTGTGGCAAAGATGCAGTGCTTGCAGGTAAGAATATTACTTTTACATTTTTCACAAAGACCATTTAGCACAGTAGTGTGGCCAGGGGCATTTTCAAAAACTGCTGGAGAAAAACAACTCTTAAACCAGTCTTCAAATAAAGCTTGCATGACCCATAACATTTTATTTGCCTGCCAAATTACAGGATGTGACAGTTTGCTGCAACCTATTAAAACCCTTGGATTTAGTGAATAGTACATAAGTACGGGTTTCAATTTGAAATTGCCTTTAGAGTTTCCTCCAAATAGAAGAGAAGCATAATCTGACATGCAATTCAAAATTTTAGAGGGCACACGCAGAGGAATCATATAAATGTTTGTGACCATATTAACTGAAACTTGCACTGATCAAAAATGAATAAACTGAGGTTTACCTGTATTTCACTCTGATAATCCTATATGTTTCTACCGTAAGGTCATCACCATCATGGATTCTTCATAACAAATGTCAGTTTTCAAAGATTTGCATGTTTGGGTTTGAAATTAGCATATTTTTTAGATACATTTTTTTCTTCAGGTGTAAAACAACCCTTGGAAACTTATCATATAGAAATATATGGTTCAGCAGTGGGCAAAAGCTGTAGAACTTTACTTTGTGAACAACTATTCCGTTCTGCTGACTCAAAGTGATTTTCATAGACATTTCAAATCAAATCTCTGGTGGCCTGTTGCTTAATTTCATTGTAGATGCAAGACGCAGTGGCAGACATCAAACAAGTGGGTCTCTAGGCTCTACTGAACAATGAAGGGAGTGTTCATGAAAATGCAGACACTAACGTGGGGATGCTCAGCTCAGATGCATATCATCTCTGCAGTGAACTGTGAAAAGGGGCTTCCATCTTTTCCCTACAAAATTCAATTAATGCTACTGAGGTCAGTGGACCAAGAAAACAACCTAGTATTCATGCATACTCTCACTTATACTGCAACTCAAGATTGCACATTCATATCAAACTTGATAATGCACGACAAAGCTCACTTCCAGACTGAGAATGATAACAGCTGTGTAAAGATGGAGATTGGTACAGAAGTATGATCCACAAATGTATGGAACCTGCTCTGCAAACAGATGGTTCAAGAAAATATATTATTTCAACAGGATGGGGCCAAAGCCCACACAGCAAGAGAAGCAATGATGGTTGCCAGTTTCCTTGGTGTGCCCTCGCCCTAAGGGTTCTTTTCCAAATCACCTAACCTCCCACTACTGCAACACTGAACTGGCCTGTAGTCACACGACTTGACATCCCCAGATCTGTTCTTGTGGAGTTACCTAAACAAACATGCATTTGTTAATAAAGAAAAAAGTTAACAGTTAAATGACATTACAAATGAAATAAACCATTAACACCAGGGACAAAGACAGTGTATTGAATACAGAAAAACTTTGCAGAAACATTTAAAGCATATAATTTTTCATCTTTGGTATGATATGCACTCAAAATTTACAAGAAATATACTTTATTTACAGTTTTTTTCCATTAAGTATTTAAAATTATAGCAAAACTCCACAGGAACTTCTGTGCCATCCTGTATAAACATATCCATATCCATACATGGAAGTTTTACTATCAAAAACTATAAGCCTTTATATATCCTGATAAAAGCAAGCAAAGGTAGTCATATAATACTTCAATATATTTATATACTGATTATTATCACATGTGGGATTTTCTGCATAATTATTTTTTAAAAATAACTCAAAATTCTATATTAAAATCATATGTAATGCAATATTTCTTGGTCCTCAGATTGCAGCTGGAGGAGACGGCCTCCAGATATGGAGCGTAACTGCAAATATATTGAATAAGCCGTCGTGGACAACCAGCAAGGTGTGGTCCTGTCACAAAAGATCACAAGAAGCCTCTTAGTAACCAGTCACCACAATTTGTGATTCATATATTTATTTTAACACTTCGCAGACCAGATGCCTAGGCCTAGGAGTTTGGGTTTTAAATGTGGCAGACCGGTCGCCTAGATTTAGGCTTTTAGGACACGTTATGTTGCAACACACTATTCCTTGCTTTGGTGGCCACTTGTCTGTAAAAGTACTGCGTAGCTGACCTTCGGAATGTTTGTTTTCCGAGTCAGCAACGTGACCACTCTCTATTCCCCTCTCACTCAAAAGAAAAGTCCCTTTGTTCAAATTGAAGCTTCTATGTATGAGGCAAGATATTCTCAGTGTCAACATGGCTCAGAGACGAAAGCAGTTGAAGGCCGCGCGAGCTCTTGGAGAAGAAGAAATCTGTGATTTGATCTCCGATGAGTTATCTGACTTGCCAACTGCTTCGTCTTCTGATAGCGAGGGCAGTCTCAGGGGCCACCAAAATATTGTGACCAGAAGAGAAAGTGAAAGTGACAGTCAGAGCTCCGATGAAAGTGTGAGTGCTAGCATTGCGGGGACAGCCACATGGGGTAAAGTGGACCAAACACCCACTTTGGGAAAGTTTACTGGTGATCCAGGGGTGAGACAAATGCCATCGGACCCTACGCAAGTGTCTGAAGTAGCTAAACTGTTTTCTGGAGATAGTTTCTTTGACATGTTGTGTCAGGAGACCAACAGATACTATCTCCAACACCGTGAGGCATACGACAGTACCTATAAGGTGTTGAAGTGGGTGGATGTCACTTCAGCAGAAATGAAAAATTTTTTGGCAATAATCATTCTAATGGGGTTTACAAAGAGGGATAATTTGAAAGACTATTGGTCCACTGATCCATTTTTAGAAATTCCCATTTTCTGCAAACTCATGAGTCGTAAGAGATTTGAACAGATATGGTGGTGTTTGCATTTCAATAATAATGAACTGCAACCACAATCAACGGGCAGGCTTTTCAAAATTCAACCCTTATTACACTTTTTCGTTGAGAAATTTCAGACAGTTTATAAGCCAGAGCAGCAACTGTCTTCGGACGAATCTGTGATTCCTTGGAGGGGAAGGCTTCGTTTTCCAATGTATAATCCTGGGAAACTCACAAAGTATGGCCTACCTGCTCATGTAGTCACGGAAAGCACTTCAGGCTATATTGGAAATTTAGAAATTTATTCCGGTGAAGGCAAGAAATTGCAAGAAACTATTGTTTCCATTTTGGATCCCTATCTGGATCAAAATTATCACGTTTATCATGATAATTTTTGTACCAGTGTGGCAACTGCAGAATACCTACTTTCCAGGAAAGTACGTATTTGTGGTACAATTAGGGTGAACAGAGGCCTTCCTCCAGATCTGAAAGAGGAATGTAAATCCCTGAAACGTGGTGACACCACATTCAGGAGGAAGAGGGACATTCTTCTTCAGTCCTGGAGGGATACTCACGTTGTGAATATGATTTCCACTATTCACAATTCGAGCATGGTCGATGTTCAAAGACGACACGGGCAAGTGAAGAAGAATCCTCTTTGTATTTCTCAGTACAATATGTTCATGAAGGGAGTTGATAGATCCGACCAATACTTGGCCTATTATTCCCTTCCTAGGAAAACAGTAAAATGGACGAAGAAAGTTGCCGTGTGGCTTATAAATTGTGCCCTTTTCAATTCATTTTTGGTTTTCAAAGAGCTAAACGAAAATTCAACTTTCAAATACAAGGCATTCCTCATGAATGTGGCAAAAGCCTGGACTACATACCTCACGGTGGCGGCAGAACCTGTGTCAGACACAGACGTAGTACGACCGGGACCATCTACTCCCACCCCACAGAGGCCTCATATGGACGCCCCTGGGCGACTCTCGGGTGATATGCGGAAACATACCCTCGTGAAAATTGTGATGAGCGAACAATCGACGGGGAAGTATCCTTCTAGGCAGTGCTGTGTGTGCGCTCTGCACAAGAAGCGAAGCAAGCCTTCCTACATCTGCAAGTTCTGCAGCATGCCTCTTCACAGAGGGGAATGTTTCCAGAAATATCACACTCTGAAGCACTTCTAGGAGCTCTGGTAAGTCTTCTCCAAAAATTTTAGTTCATAAAAT